GCAGAACTGCATTCCCTCTGGAGACTCTAGGGGAGGATCTGTTTTCTTCCCTTTTCCAGTCTCCAGAGGCTGCCCACATTCCTTGGCTCGTGTCCTCTTCCATCATCAAAGCCAGCAATCACATCATTCTGACCACTGCTTCAAAAACACACCTACCTCTCTGACTGGCCTCCTTCCTTCTTTTACTTATAGGGACCCTTGTGATTACACAACCAATCTGGGTGATCCAGGGTATAAGTTCTCCATCTGAAAATTCTTTATTTAATCACATCTGCAAAGTTGTTGTTTTTTTTTTCCCCCATGTAAGGTAACATATTCGCAGGTTCTGGGAACTAGGAAGTGAATATCTTTGGGGTAGGAAAAGAAGAAGTATTCTGTTTACAATAATTACTTGGGTAACTTTAAAAAAAAAACTTTACTATTACTACAGTTTTTGAAGACAGGGTCTTTTTTGTTGTCCAGGTTGGAGTACAGTAGCACATGTATAACTCACTGTAACTCCAAACTTCTGGGTTCAAGCAGTCCTCCCACCTCAGCCTCACCAGTAGTAGCTAAGACAACAAACACACAAAACCGGGCTAATTTTTTAATTTTTAAGAAAACTTATTTTAAAACTTTATATCATAAAATTTTATCATCACTAAAAATTCCTCATAATCATAATGTTTGATAATGCTAAATATTTCACTGTAGGGAATATACCACAATTAATTTAACTGGTTCCCCGGTTTGTGATAGTTAGATCATTTTATATTTTCATGATTTAGGATGATGATTTTAACAAAAACAACTCTCGGTTTGAGGGGAACATAATGAATCAGAAAGAGGTTGGGGAAATGGACTTAGTGATCAAGAAGACCGGAGTTTCAATCTAGGTTCTTCCTCAAGTTATCCTTATCATTTGAGTCTTGTTTCCTCCACTGCAAAAAGGGGATCCTTACAAAAGCTCCAACCCCATAGATTTTTTTTTTAATTTGAGATAAAATTTGGCTACTATACAAATGACTTCTATCCATTTAAAATGTAAATTTGATAGGATTTGACCTTGTAGGGGTTTGTGGGATTCAATGACGTAGAGAACACACAAACTGTCATCACTGCTTATAATTTTTATTATTTTCTTAGGCTAGGCTCTTAAGAAGTAGCAATACAGAATAAAAGCCTATAAACTCAAATATTTTGAAATCAGTCTTGTGAAGATAGAAGGTGGACTTCAGAGGGAATGTAAATGTGTTTGTTTTTGTTTTGGTGTTTGGATAGAATTTGGGGCATAGGAAGAATTGGTATGAACTCGTTGGGTTATTTGACTCAAAATGCCCTCTTCCAATCCTCCTTGTGCAGCCCTGAATTATACTTACCCCTACACTGCACACACAGAATACCTAGGAGAAGTCAATTCTAGTTCATTGAACCTCCCTGCCCTGTCACCAACCCTGCAGAACACCAGCCGGTTTCTCTTCACATTCAAGTGAGACTCCTTCAGTGAGAGTTACATGGGCACCATCTCCACTTGTCCAAGACAGCTTTCAGCAGGTGGGCAGAAATGGGAGGTGAAGGGTCTCTGCCAGTTCCATGGGGTGCCTACCCTACCTACCAACAAACCATGAAAACATATTCCATTTGGCCGTGGGTGTACTGGCTGCAGGTTTCAGGGCTGAGTTAGTGTAGTGTCAGCCAAATCCAGGAGAATGTTGCACCAGAGTGATGTGTGGGTGAATCCTCAGGCATTCTGCAGGTGTGGGAGCAGGTTACGTGAGATGGGTGTGGGATAGGTGGTGAGGGATGAGAGGAAGGTGCCGGCAGTGGGTGGGGTCAGAGGTGGGCGAGGGTGGAGGTGAGGAATGGGGCCCCAGACGAGGTCGGAAATAGCAGTTAGAGCAGTGGTTTAGAATCATTTTGGGGTCATGGTCTCTTTTGAGAATCTGACGTATACTAAGGATAGAATGTGCGCACACACACATTAGCCCACAAATGTTGCACATAATCCCAGGGGTTTCTGGAACCCAGGAAGCTCATGCAAGTGCTCGGGATTAAGAATCTCTATCTGGACTAGTTCATAAGGACTTGTCAGGAACAAATCTTAAAGTTGTATTCAGAACTTGAGAATGTTTACATCTTCTAGTGTGAAAGAGATTTAGGGAGGTTTGTAAGCTTGGGAATTATATTTCAAAGTCCACTTATTCCATACATTTTGTTTTCTTCTAGTTTTTATTCTGAAAAATAAAACCTACCAAAAAGTTGTAAGCTCATGTACTTTTCAACTAGTGTCAAATTTTCACTGATGCCAAAATGTCCCTCCAATTTCTCCTCCACACCTGCCCCATGCTCTCAGGAACTCATGGTTTTCTGGAGAACCATTTGAGAATAAGCAGCAGATATTATATTTCATCCCTAAACACTTGGCATATAACTCCTGAAATCAAGAAATTCACCTACACAACCACAGTACAATGATCACACTTACAAAATTTAACATTGATGCATACTCTTATGTAATATATATCCTGTATTCAAATTTCCCCAAGAGTGTCCTGTCCTTCTATTCTTTCTCCTTCCCTCCTTTTCCTCCTACTTTTAAAACAAATCTAGGGTCTAACCCCAAATCATACACTCTATTTAGTTATATTATTCAGTCTTTATTTTTCAAGAACACTACTCCAGAGTTTCGTTTGGTTTTGCTTCTCTTATGATGTTGATCTTTTTAAGAGTTCAGGCTAGCTATTTCACAGAATGTCCGCTAGCTTGTATTTATCTGATGGTGTCCTTGTGATTTGATTTAGGTTATACATTTTGACAGGAGAACTACATGGGAGAATGTGTCCCTTCTTAGTACATTGCATCTAAGAGTCAGTTCATCCCCTGCTGATGATAAATTTGAGTAATGCTTAAGGTGGTGACATTTAGGTGTTCCCTTGTAATCCATAAGTTATCTATGGGGTAACACTGTACTCTTTGAAGGTCTTTGGGACAAACACTGAGTTAGCCAGTGGTGAGCATCCAGACTCAGTCTTTGGTCTCATGCTGTGTTTACAAGGGGAGGGGACAGATAATAAACTTGTAAACAAATAATGACAAGATATGAAGTTTGATAGGGTGCTGAGATAGAGAAGTATCAACTCCAGATAAATTAACCTTTAAGGGGAGTCTTGGAGAGAAAAAATGAGCCAGAGGTGGGAAGATGGGGGAGGGGAGGTAGTCCCTGGAAGGGAACTTGGAGGATGGCAGGAACAGAAAGATGGGCATATGGCAGTTGCAGGGAAGGAAGAGTGATAGGAGAAAGGCCCTACAGAAAGAACACTTAGTATCTTAATATTGAACACCGCTCTAAGTGTTTTATGTGATTTACCTTATTTAATTCTCTCTGCATCCCTGTGAAGTGAGTGCTATTAATGGTTTTATATTGTAGAATCTGTAGCATGGAGAGGTTGAGTAAATGGTGTAAGGTCACACACCATTTAAATAACAGTGCTGGATAGATCTGACATAGATCTGTAAGTAATGGTGCTGGACAGATCTTGTCAGTAACAGTGCTGGATAGATCTGACTCTAGTTTGTACTCTTAGCTATATTAAGGAGGAGGGATCAAGGTTTCCTCTAGAAAACAGAATGTGAAAAAGGACTGGAATCAGAGCAACCTGGACTGGATGAAGAGGTTCTGTTGATAAAAAATGTGCGGGATGGGCAAACAAGACAGAAGAAAGGCCCAGAAAATCAGGGCTAGAAGGCAACATCCTAAGGCAAGCCAACCTGGTTGGCCATCCCACTCTCAATTCATCTGCCACTCAATCCACCCCTAACCCTTAGCCAGTTCCTACGGGTGGGACTGGAAATTCTCCCGCCCTCCTTCTTCCCAAACAAGAATATTTACAGAGTCTCAAAATGTCTCCTCACAAATTACTTATTAATTACAAAGAGAAAAATTGTAACTTGGCAGTGGCACAGTCTGACCACTGAAGTGGTCGTTCAGAGGGTTCTCAGGGAAGCTCTGGAAGGAAATGTGGGGGAAATTGTAGAAGGGTTTTGTGAGGACAGTACTGGATAAAGAAAAATGGGAAGTCTTGGGAATTGAAGGGTCTGTGGTGATAGGGCAGGGTCCAGAGAGGGAAAAGGAGGGTGTCGTGGGGGGGGGGGG